GAAGACTTTGTTCAATAACAAAAAAGTTGAGCGTTGAAAATGGGAACTTCGGCAGGAATCAGGTGCCGCATTGGCTAAAACGAAAACTTCCGCAGCACTTCTACAAAGGACTGCAGGACCTTCACTTTCTGTATGTCCAGCGGAACTTTCAAGTCTAATGTCCTAGTGTAAAGATGACACTCACATATAAAACATAGAACAAGCACCTACCTATCAACTTTCACATCTACCGTAGATTTGACATCACTTGGCTGGATTGGTATCTCTTCCTTAGGAGGCTCTAACGGCGCTTCACTCGTCTTTTTGCTCGATTTGCTCGTGTCCAAATTTCTCAAATAGGCTATAGCGCTATCCAGCAGCACACTAAGCTGATCCTGTTGTTCTTCCAGATTTTTCTGATGCCTTTCGATACATTCAATCGCCTTCTGCCTATCAGCTTCTTCCATGTCTCTTAAACCTTGTAGACGTTCATTTAATGCGGCAACTATGGCATAATCCCTTTCCGTCTGACTTTCATCATTCAGAAGAGACATCGCATGCTGTCGCCACTCCTCCTTTGGCTCCTTTAGTTCCTTAGGTTCCTTCGCCTTTCTTGCTCCAGTCACTTCCTCCATTTCTTCCTTTCTCGTCAATTCCTCCTCTTCCTGAATCCACCGTTGATGCAGATTTGCCTTTTCTGAATTTGCAATCGAACCATTTTCACTTCTATTGTCGTAGATGTCAGATTCATCGCCATCATACTGTGCATTAGAACTGTTTAACATTTCTGAATCACCTTCTCTTTCTACTGGTGGTGAATGTACTGGACTAGCAGGTGAAAATATCTCCGTGACGATATCTGACTCATCCACTACTTCTGGAACATTCCTCCATGCGCTAAGGATTACTGTAGGCTTAGAAAAGTCAACTTTTTTCTGAGGCTGCGATTTGTTGGATATAATTTCTTCATCTTCCTCAGAGCGACTTTTCACAAAAGGTCTGGGAGTGGTATTTATTCCAACTAGCAGCGAAAGGTGTTCCGACGGTTGCGGGGTGCGGATAACTGGGCGGGCTGGCTCAGTTGACACTTCAGTGATGGGCTCAAGCATTATCTCCTTATATTGTGGGACCTTAAAAGGACATGGAGAGAGCGCGCGAATGAAATCCGAGTTTACATCATGCGAAGTATTGTCTGGAAGAGATTTTCTTCTGGGTAACTCGATTGTTGGAATGGGCGAGGTGCTCGAATCTATGGTATGTGGTACATGCAGTGAAGAAGACGTTTCGAACTGATCTAGTGGCACATCCGCCTGTATCGAGTGAGTGTCCCATTCGGGTTCCGACAAATGCATGTCAGGAACATCTGCCGGGACCTGAATTTGATGAGTTGATGGCTGTTTTTCTGCGGGACATTGAGTTCGGAGCTCTGCGCTGAGTGGGAAGTTTGACACAATTCCCTGCACTCTGGTAGTCGTCTCAGCTTTGTCCAAAAATATCTGGGTCGACACTTCCTCTTCACGATGCGGTGCCACGTCCTGCTTGATCGCTACGTCACCTGTTCTGTTCTTCTCGAAGATTTTCGAGTGCGCAATTTGCCCGACAGGCGCTGTAGCTGCCCGCTGACGATCTCGCCTTGGCCTAGCTCTACGTGCAGGCTTCGGCGATTCCGATTCCTCCCTGTCGGTCAGCTCGATCAAATCGTGAAGCGATAGAGGCTCGTGCTCGTCTTTTTTTCGAAACTGCATAGCAGGACTGATCTGCCAGTAACGAGGTGTGGGCGCCGAAGGCGGTGGTGGCCATTGTCTGGCTTGCCGAAATGAGCGACGTGGTGACACGGCGCTGCGAACTGATGGTGGAATTCGAGATTCTGAAAAGAACATGAACGGACATTGGACGGAACATAAATGGGACAGAAAC